AATTAAAAATACTCTAGAGGGGATCAATAGCAGAATAACTGAGGCAGAAGAACGGCTAAGTGACCTAGAATATAAAAGAGTGGAAATAACTACTGCAGAGCAGAATACAGAAAAAAGAATGAAAAGAACTTAGGACAGTATCAGAGACCTCTGGGACAACATTAAAAGCACCACATTCGAATTATAGTCGTCCCAGAAGAAGAAGAGAAAAAGAAAGGGACTGAGAAAATATTTGAAGGGACTATAGCTGAAAACTACCCTAATATGGGAAAGGAAATAGTTAATCAAGTCCAGGAAGCACAGAGAGTCCAATACAGGATAAATCCAAGGAGAAACACACCAAGACACATATTAATCAAACTATCAAAAACTAAATACAAAGAAAAAATATTAAAAGCAGCAAGGGAAAAACAACATAACACACAAGGGAATTCCCATAAGGTTAGCAGCTGATCTTTCAGCAGAAACTCTGCAAGCCAGAAGGGAGTGGCAGGACGTATTTAAAGTGATGAAGGAGAAAAACCTACAACCAAGATTACTCTACCCAGCAAGGATCTCATTCAGATTTGATGGAGAAATTAAAAGCTTTACAGACAAGCAAAAGCTGAGAGAATTCAGCACCACCAAACCAGCATTACAACAAATGCTAAAGGAACTTCTATATGCAGGAAACACAAGAGAAAGAAAAGACCTACAATAACAAACCCAAAACAATTAAGAAAATGGGAATAGGAACATACATATCAATAATTACCTTAAATGTAAATGAATTAAATGCTCCAACCAAAAGACATAGACTGGCTGAATGGATACAAAAACAAGACCCGTATAGATGCTGTCTATAAGAGACCCACTTCAGACCTAGGGGCACATACAGACTGAAAGTGAGGGGATGGAAAAAGATATTCCGTGCAAATGCAAATCAAAAGAAAACTGGAGTAGCAATTCTCATATCAGACAAAATAGACATTAAAACAAAGACTATTACAAGAGACAAAGAAGGACACTATGTAATGATCAAGGGATCAATCCAAGAAGATATAACAATTGTACATATTTATGCACCCAACATAGGAGCACCTCAATACATAAGGCAAAAACTAACAGCCATAAAAGGGGAGATCGACAGTAACACAATCATAGTAGGGGACTTTAACACCCCATTTCCACCACTGAACAGATCATCCAAAATGAAAATAAATAAGGAAACACAAGCTTTAAATGATACATTAAACAAGATGGATTTAATTGATATTTATAGGACATTCCATCCAAAAAGAACAGAATACACTTTCTTCTCAAGTGTTCATGTAACATTCTCCAGCATAGATCATATCTTGGGTCACAAATCAAGCCTACGTAAATTTAAGAAAACTGAAATCGTATCAATGAAATCGTATCAAGTATCTTTTCTGACCACAAAGCTATGAGACTAGATATCAATTACAAGAAAAAATCTGTAAAAAATACAAATACATGGAGGCTAAACAATATACTACTAAATAACCAGGAGATAACTGAAGAAATCAAAGAGGAAATTAAAAAATACCTAGAAACAAAAAACAATGAAAACACGATGACCCAAAACCTATGGGATGCAGCAAAAGCAGTTCTAAAGGGAAGTTTATAGCAATACAATCCTACCTAAAGAAACAAGAAACAACTCAAATAAACAACCTATGCTTACACCTAAAGCAATTAGAGAAAGAACAAAAAACCCCCTAATTTAGCAGAAGGAAAGAAATCATAAAGATCAGATGAGAAATAAATGCAAAAGAAATGAAGGAAACGACAGCAAAGATCAATAAAATTAAAAGCAGGTTTTTTGAGCAGATAAACAAAATTGGTAAACCATTAACCAGACTCATTAAGGAAAAAAGGGAGAATACTCAAATCAATAGAATTAGAAATGAAAAAGGAGAAGTAAAAACTGACACTGCAGAAATACAAAGGATCATGAGAGATTACTACAAGCAACTCTATGCCAATGAAAAGGACAACCTGGAAGAAATGGAAAATTCTTTGAAATGCACAACCTTCCGAGAATGAACCAGGAAGAAATAGAAAATATGAACAGACCAATCACAGGCACTGAAATTGAAACTGTGATTAAAAATCTTCCAACAAACAAAAGCCCAGGACCAGATGGCTTCACAGGTGAATTCTATCAAACATTTAGAGAAGAGCTAACACCTATCCTTCTACAACTCTTCCAAAATATAGCAGAGGGAGGAACACTCCCAAACTCATTCTATGAGGCCACCATCACCCTCATACCAAAACCAGACAAAGATGTCACAAAGAAAGAAAACTACAGGCCAATATCACTGATGAACATAGATGCAAAAATCCTCAACAAAATACTAGCAAACAGAATCCAACAGCACATTAAAAGGATCATACACCATGATCAAGTGGGGTTTATCCCAGGAATGCAAGGATTCTTCAATATATGCAAATCAATCAATGTGATAAACCATATTAACAAATTGAAGGAGACAAACCATATGATCATCAATCGATGCAGAGAAAGCTTTTGACAAAATTCAACACCCATTTATGACAAAAACCCTGCACAAAGCAGGCATAGAGGGAACTTTCCTCAACAAAATAAAGGCCATATATGACAAACCCACAGCCAACATCATCCTCAATGGTGAAAAACTGATACCATTTCCACTAAGATCAGGAACAAGACTAGGTTGCCCACTCTCACCACTCTTATTCAACACAGTTTGGGAAGTTTTAGCCACAGCAATCGGAGAAGAGAAAGAAATGAAAGGAATCCAAATCAGAAAAGAAGAAGTAAAGCTGTCACTGTTTGCAGATGACATGGCACTAAACATAGAGAATCCTAAAGATGCTACAAGAAAACTACTAGAGCTCATCAATGAATTTGGTAAAGTAGCAGGACACAAAATTAATGCAAAGAAATCTCTTGCATTCCTATATACTAATGATGAAAAATCTGAAAATGAAATGAAGAAAACACTCCCATTTACCTTTGCAACAAAAAGAATAAAATATCTAGGAATAAACCTACCTAAGGAGACAAAAGACCTGTATGCAGAAAATTATAAGACACTGATGAAAGAAATTAAAGATGATACAAATAGATGGAGAGATATAGCATGTTCTTGGATTGGAAGAATCAACATTGTGAAAATGAGTCCACTATCCAAAACAATCTACAGATTGAATGCAATCCCTATCAAACTACCACTGGCATTTTTCACTGGAACAAAAAATTTCACAATTTGTATGGAAACACAAAACACCCCAAGTAGTCAAAGCAATCTTGAGAAAGAAAAATGGAGCTGGAGGAATCAGTCTCCCTGACTTCAGACTATAGTACAAAGCTACAGTACTCAACACAGTATGGTACTGGCACAAAAACAGATATATAGATCAATGGAACAGGATAGAAAGCCCAGAGATAAACCGATGCACTATGGTCACCTTATCTTTGATAAAGGAGGCAGGAATATACAGTAGAGAATAGACAGCCTCTTCAATAAGTGGTGGTGGGAAAACTGGACAGCTATATGTAAAAGAATGATATTTGGACCTCCCTAACATCATACATTAAAAAAAATCCTCCAAATGGATTAAAGACCTAAATGTAAGGCCAGACACTATCAAACTTTTAGAGGAAAACATAGGCAGAACACTCTATGACATAAATCACAGCAAGATCCTTTTTGACCCACCTGTAAGAGAAATGGAAATAAAAACAAAAATAACCAAATGGGACCTAATGAAACTTAAAAGCTTTGGCACAGTAAAGGAAACCATAAACAAGAGAAAAGACAACGGTCAGAGCAGAAGAAAATATTTGCAAATGAAGCAACTGACAAAGGATTAATCTCCAAAATTTATAAGCAGCTCATGCAGCTCAATAACAAAAAAAAGAAACAACCCAATCCAAAAATGGGCAGAAGAGCTAAATAGACATTTCTCCAAAGAAGATATACAGATTGCCAACAAACACATGGAAGAATGCTCAACATCATTACTCAACAGAGAAATGCAAATCAAAACTACAATGATCTCACACCAGTCAGAATGGCCATCATCAAAAAATCTACAAACAATAAATGCTGGAGAGGATGTGTAAAAAAGGGAACCCTCTTGCACTGTTGGTGGGCATGTAAATTGATATAGCCACTATGGAGAACGGTATGGAAGCTTCTTAAAAAACTAAAAATAGAACTACCTTACGACCCAGCAATCCCACTACTGGGCATATACCCTGAGAAAACCATAATTCAAAAAGAGTCATGTACCAAAGTGTTAATTGCAGCTCTATTTACAATCGCCAGGACATGGTCAGCCATATAAAGAAATGAAATTGAGTTATTTGTAGTGAGGTGGATGGACCTAGAGTCTGTCATACAGAATGAAGTAAGTCAGGAAGAGAAAAACAAATACTGTATGCTAATACATATATATGGAATCAAAAAAAAATGGGGCCAGACAGCAATAAAGACGCAGACCTACTAGAGAATGGAGTTGAGGACATGGGTAGGGGTAAGGGTAAGCTGGGACAAAGTGAGAGAGTGGCATGGACATATATATACTACCAAATGTGAAATACATAGCTAGTGGGAAGCAGACGCATAGCACAGGGAGATCAGCTCAGTGCTCTGTGACCACCTAGAGGGGTGGGATAGGGAGGGTGGGAAGGAGGGAGACGCAAGAGGGAAGAGATATGGAGGCATATGTATATGTATAGCTGATTCACTTTGTTATAAAGCAGAAACTAACACAGCATTGTAAAGCAATTATACTCCAATAAAGATGTTAAAAAAAGAGAAACTAAAAGAAAAAAAAATGTGAAAAGTAGAGATATTTTAAAAATTATTCAGTTAAAGTATTATACTCAAAAGTAAAATAATTATGCCCAGTAAGATTAAGTATGATAAAATAATAGTAAAGCTACTTTATTTTGCAAAAAATAAGAAAAATGAAAATATTTATAAAGAACTAATTTTACTAACCTGACTAATTTTTCTTTGCTCTTGTATAGCTCTTTGAATTGCCTGAGATACTTTCTCTTGATCTTTTGCATGCTCGGTCTTCCATAACTCCCTTTCTTCTGCATGGGCTTTTTCCAAATTTTTTCTTTCTTCTTCTACAGCTTTTAAAACTGCATCCTTCATCACTTCTTTCTCAAGCTTCAAAACAAATAATGACGAAAACAAAAATATTTGAATGAGTGACCACAATAGTTCCTTGAATAAGACAGACTTGAGTTAACCTAAAAAACTCAAAATTTTGATCTATAGGGTTTATTTCTGACATTGTTTTTTTTTTACTCATATGTAATAACTGCTGTAAAATAAAATTAATTATTTGTTTTTACACAAATAACCAACTTATTTCCATGGCATTTCTAAACTTCAAAGAAACCAAGTCTTGGCCTAAAGTAGCAGTGTTCAAGCTATTTTGTCTTAGGATCTCGTTATACTCTTAAAAATTATAGAGGACTTCTAAGAGCTTTTGTTTACATGGGTTATACATATTAAGATTTACCATATTAGATATTCAAACCAAGAGAAAATACTTATTTATTAACTCATTTATAATTAATAACAGTAAGTGCATTATATATTTATACTGTATTTTATGAAAAATAACTAAATTTTCCAAAATTAAAAAGTGAGAAGAATGTTTATAAGCCTCTTTACTATCTGACTTAATAGAAGAGAGCCTAGATTCTTATACCTGCCTTCTGTTTTAAATCTGTAATGATACTTTTAGTTGAAGTATATAAGAAAAACCCAGCCTCACAAATATATGTAGAAGAAAAGCGAGAATTATTTAGTAGCCAGTTGAGATTACTGTAGATATTCTTTCTGATTCCACACCAAAGCTTAACAAGGGGTAGTTCTTAAAGGCAAGTTGCAATAAGAAAAATAAAATCATGTCAATGAACTTTTTGTACTCTGTTACATTACAATCTTTTCTTGCATTTTGAATGAACCCTTTACATATTTTTTAAACATTTTTTATTTGGCAAACATTGATTCAATGACTTATGCATCTCCTCCAGATGTTGACACATTTCACTATATTATAACCAAAAAAGCCACATTTTTGTTAATAACACCATCAATCTCATCAGAAGAGTCTTTATTAAAAAGTAGAAATAAATTTTCTAAAATTCTAATTTTTTTTTAAAGCTCGAATTTTATCATTGGCAACAAGAACTGTCAGTTTTTGTCCTTAAGGTGCTGGGCTCACTCTGCTTATTTTGGACAAAATGCCTGCCAAATACTAAAGTCTGTATAACCCTACTAATTCAGTAAAATGGCGTTCCATGGAAAAAGAGCCTATTTCAGTTGCAACTCAAACAGCTGCACAAGAATTTTCCTCAAGAAACCATCGTACATAGTAAAGTCCATCGAACTCCCACTCCTGAGAGACTTATCACTTTTTTTCTTGCTTCCAGTTCACAACTAAATTTGACAAAAGTCATTAAAGCTGACAGTCACCATTTTTGGAACTCCTATTTTATTGCACAATTCTCCTCCTAAATTACTCTCTTACTATGTTCACCAATGCCTTCCATGTTGTTTAAACCAAACGATATTTTTTGTTTTAATCCTTACTTTCATGACCTCAAAGCAACATTCTATATAGTTATTTCTGATTTTGTGAAGCCCTCTCTTTTCTTGGTTTTCATGAGAGCCTGCTGCTTATATTTCTCCTATGCATTTTGCTGAGTCTTTTCAATTCTTTGTAACTTCGTCCTTCCTCTGGATTTTAAATTTTGGAGTTCTTTCAGGGCTAAGAACTTGGACCACTTGTTACTCTACTTGTTACTCCTTTGAGGTAATTATACATGACAATAATTTCCATGGCTACTATTACCATCTCTCTGCTGGAAAACAAAAAACAAAAAAACCCATTATACTAACCCATATTAATATCTTCAGGAGATTCCTATCTACCGAGCTGTAAATGTCATGTAGATTTAGCTGCCTACTTGACTTTATAATCTAGATATATCACAGGCAGCTCAAACTCTATATCAAGGAAATAGTATTACTTTCTATGTTGCTGCTGAATGAATATTCTGGCAGTTCACAAACTGGCCACCTCATCCACACCAAACATGTTGATTCTATCTCCTAACTGCTAGAATTTGCCTATTTCATTCCTTTCCAAGCTACTACTACTATTCTATTTCTGTCTTATGCAAACTTCAGATGCACTCTGTTAATTCTTTCCTTGCCTTTGGCCTTTCTTGCTCCAATTTCCCCAAAATTAATGTCAGTTACCATTATGACCCACCTATACTCAGAAATTTCAATGTGTCTCTACTTACCTATGGAATAAAATTCAATCTCACTATTCAGAATGTTAGCCATCCTTCAAGGCTCAGTTCAAAAGAAATTTATTGTCAAAAACTCCTATGGGGGGCTTCCCTGGTGGTCCAGTGGCTAGGGCTCTGTGCTCCCAATGCAGGGGGCCCGGGTTTGATTCCTGGTAGAGGAACTAGATCCCACATGCCGCAACTAAGACCCAGCGCAACCAAATAAATAAATTTAAAAAAAAATGAAATAAAAAACCTCCTATGAATGCCATGGAAATACTATCTATATACTCATAATAATTTAATGCATTCCTTCTTACCTTATTAGTACATAAACAATGTTTATTTACCTGATTGTAAATTCTTTAAAAAGACAAAATCATAGTCATTCTTGAACTTCCACCTCAGCACAGTGATCTGTACCTATGAGACTTTCAACGTTTGTTTACTAAATTTAAATCTAAATCCCAAACTCAACACTCAGTGCCATATTTGTGTTAAAAACTTAATAAACAGAAAGCTCAATTAAATAGTGTCAGGGGACCATAAGGCAGAGCTCTCACCTTATAAGTGCTTCGACAATGGCAGAGTCCAACAGGAAGAAGACAGACTCCTCTACTTCCCTGGCAAGAACTCAGCCAATGAAATGCCCCGGACTCTGTTTACCACAGCCCTCCCAACTTTCTTTTCCCCTTGATAAAGCATTCTCCCTTGTTGTATGGGGACTTGCACGTGGCTCACCATGGTTGCAGACCCCAAACTGCAATTCTCTGCTGTTCCTGAATAAACTCATTATTGCTGGAGAAATATCTGGCAGTCTATTTATTTTAGGTCAACACTTTGGTGGCCCATATGGGGACCAGAGAAGACCTCCGAAGGCTCTGGGGCTATTGAACAGATGTGGTACCCACAACTGAGCCCACTGTTACTCACTGCTTTCTTGCTGACCTTGGAGTTTGAAGGTACGTCTTTCTCCTAGACCCAAGCTCATGCCCTCTTTGTATTTGAAGCTCTCCAGGTTTTATTCAGAATCTATTTTAAGGTTTCATCTTTCCGGCTAAGGCCTTGTTCTGCATGCATTTGGAACTTTGGTCTGATTTTGAGATAAGACTGTTTCAACCGAGGCTGGCTAGAAATGCCTTCAGGCCATTCCTTTGGGAATAGGGACTTCTTCACTGAAAAGTGTATTGGTTTTTCAGCCTTTGGCCTCTTCCTTTGGAAGGGGCTATTCTCTGGAAATTGCCTGTAAAAGCCTTTGGCCTGGCTCCTTTAGCACCAAGCTGTCTCTTTAGAACTGGCTGGTATTAGTTTGCAAGCTTTTTGAGCTGTAAGTTATTTAAGCTGTTTGAAAATTGTTCTTTTATTCTAGAGAAAAACCTCTGAGAAATGGGATCCCAGTTAACTAAGTATTTTGAGGGTGCTACCCCTACAGGGACTCCAGCCAAACTGGTATTTAAAAACCATAGTTCCTACCCCTTCATGCTCCTTCTGACTAAAAGGACCGACCTGACCAAAGGCAAGTTAAAATATCAGTGGCCGGGCTTCCCTGGTGGCGCAGTGGTTGAGAGTCCGCCTGCCGATGCAGGGGACGCGGGTTTGTGCCCGGTCCGGGAAGATCCCACATGCCGCGGAGCGGCTGGGCCCATGAGCCATGGCCGCTGAGCCTGCGTGTCCGGAGCCTGTGCTCCGCAACGGGAGAGGCCACAGCAGTGAGAGGCCCGCGTACCAAAAAAAAAAAAAAAATCAGTGGCCATTATGGGAAACTTTTGGAATCCCCAAACTTAATTTCCTTAAAACTGAATTAGATCACAATAGCTCAAAAATTTCCAGAACTAAGCGGTATGCCTATTTCGATTGGTATCTTAAGGCTTCCCAGTATAATCAGAAGCTTAAAACTCCCTCTCTGCAAAACAAGATTTCAAGATTAACTGAGGCAAACCAGCAATTAAAGAAAGATGAAATGGCTCCCAAAGCCTCAGGTTCTTCTTCCTTGGCTTCCTCTGGTACCATCTCGTCTCTCATCCTTGCATCCTCATGGCCAGACTGTGCCTCTGGCGCCATCTTCCTCCCACCCTTCTATGCCGCTGATGCCTCCTCTATACCCCATACTAATTATCCTGTCAAACTTCTCCTTTTCTCTAAAACTCTTCCCACCCCCTTTCCCTCTGAACTTTTCAGAATTTTTCCCTATAAAATTAAGCCTTCTGAGGATCCAGAAGTTCAACTCTGAATTTCCTATATTCTCTGGATTAAAGCTGAACTGCAAGCCATAGTCAAGTATTTTCCCAAAATAAACCAAAGATCCTCACAGACTTGCTGAGGAATTTAATATAGTCATTTAAACTTATCAACGTTGTTTCTCTGACTCATATCAGCTGGTTCATATACTTGTTGGTTAAGGCCAGGCCCAGCATAGGATGAAAACTGCTAATTGGGAAAATCCTGAAAGGTCTAACTTATATGGTTAGGTTCAGGCAATCGCTAGGTGGCTTCATCGAGCAATTCCTAGGGCTTTACCAAAGCCTGTTGATTGGAACAGAATCCAGCCTTGCACACAAACATTGGATGAACCTGTTCACGACTACTACATGACTTCAGACTGCTTCTAAAGAAAATTCTGGTCTTCCCTCAGATGTTGATTCCACCCAGGCAGCTTTTAACTCTGTGTTATTAATGGGCTGGACTGGGACATTTTCCCTTCTAGTAAAAAGGACTAGGATGAAATGGAAAACTATCTCTAGTTCAGACTTAATTAATCTAGCAAACCAGCTCTCTCACACTCTACATGAGTCACCTAAAAGGAAGAACACCATATTTCTTAATCTTCAAATCCAGCAAATGAAGATTCCTGAATGAAATCAAAACTTTCCCAGTTTCTGCTATTATTGCAAAAAGCCAGGACACTGGGAAAGATTATTACAAATTTAAGTGTTTGAGTGCTTTCAGTCCTCTAACCAGCCTTTCCAATGTCCTTTCAATTCTCAATAACGGGGCTTTGAGGAATTATAGGGGCTCTTCCCAGTTCTCCCTCTTAATCGGTGTGGAGAAATATTTCTCCTGATTGAGGATGAACCTCTTCCTGTTCTGACACCAAAGGCACAATCTCGGTGTTCAACCCCACTACTATAAAGCAGCCCATGCCGTGGTTCAAACAGTGGGGATCGCTAATGAACTTCACGTTTTAGTCATGGTCTGTAGATTTTATAGTGGACTGAAAGAAGCCTTCCCTTGCAGACCGGTTACTTCCTCTTCTGGGGCTAAAGTACTTTTGGAAAAGATTGTCCCTACCTGAGGAGCTCCTCTCAAACATCATAGTGATTTAGAAATCCATTTTACTGGCTAGGTGCTTCAACAAGTTTGCGCTGTTTGGCCAGTTTTACAACGTTTTCACTATGCTTACCACCTTACCACCTTCAATCCTCTGGTTTAGTTAAATGCACTAACAGCATTATTAAGATTCAGTTAGAAAAATTTGTAGAGGCCCTCCAAATACCTTGGCCAAAAGCATTGCTGTTGGCCCTCTAAATCCCAGAGCCACTCCTTTTGGAACTCGTAAACTCTCACCCTTTGAGATAGTCACAGGACACCCAATGCACTTGGCTCCTGCCTCTTTTGACCCACAGCTGATAAAAGGAGAGATATTCCAATATTGCAAAGGCCTAGTTGTTTCCATTAAAAATAACCATGCCCTGGTAGAGCAATCTTTTCACAGTGCGCCCTTGGGAGATGATGACCTTAAGCATCACATCTTGCAACCTAGAGATTTTGTCTACTGGAAAAGACACTTCCAAAAGAATGCTCTTCAACCTCACTGGAGAGGCCCCTATCAGGCACTCATAACCAACCCTTGTGCCACCAAACAACAAGGAATAGACTCTTGGATTCACATGACACACCTAAAGAAAGCACCTAACCCTGACTGGACCTGTACATCATCTGGTGACCTGAAAGTAAAGATTTCCCAGAAATGAAGCAGATGACATCTGATGAGACAGCTTTCCCAAGATACCCAGGCCAGGCCTCTTAGAAGTTTGTCACCAAACATTTGATGATGACATAACACTTCAGATGATCTCCAATGTCTATAATCTTGATAAGATATGGACTTCAGAAAACTGCCTAAGAGGTCTCCCTCCTACCCCTCCTCGTTACTTGAATGTGACTGCAATAGTTTTCCAATCTGCACTTTCGCTCTGACGTGAGACACCACACCCAGAAATTGAGGGACAAAAAGAGCTAAAATTAGAAACCTTGATTCTTGATCAGTGGTGCTTTCAGAAAAAGGTCTTGATCAAAGGGGAAAATGTAAAAAATTCATAAACAGAAATCTCAATTAAATAGTGTCAGGAGATCTATTTAAGGGGGAACTCTCATGCCCTGCAACTACAGTAGAGACCAACAGGAAGAAGAAAGACTCCTCTTCTTTCCTGGCAGCGACTCAGCCAATGAAAAGCCATGGACTCTGTATTTCCTGTAGCCCTCACAACTTCCTTTCCTCTCTATAAAAGTGTTCTCCTTGGGGCTTCCCTGGTGGCGCAGTGGTTAAGAGTCCGCCTGCCGATGCAGCGGACATGGGTTTGTGCCCTGGTCCAGGAAGATCCCACATGCCGTGGAGCGGCTAGGCCCGTGAGCCATGGCCGCTAAGCCTGCGTGTCCGGAGCCTGTGCTCCGCAACGGGAGAGGCCACAACAGTAAGAGGCCCACGTACCGCAAAAAAAAAAAAAAAAGTGTTCTCCTTGTCATGTGGGAACTTGTACATGGCTCGCCATGGTTGCAGACCCCAAATTGCAATTCTCTCCTAATCCTGAATAAACCCATTTTTGCTGGACAAATATCTGACAGTATATTTCAGGTCAACATATGTATATATTTGTATACATATATTTAACATCTATGAATATACTACCCAGATGATCTATTTCAAAGTTGACTTTAAAAACCACATACCTTGATACATATATACATACACACACACACACACACACACACACACACACTCTCATTACTTCTATGATATCTATCAAATACCAAGTGGATATTAGTGTTCCTATGTAGATATATTATTTGAAACAAGTGATTAATAATCTAAATGTAAAGCATTTCAATATCATCATTATCTTGTGTAATGTAAATTTAACAAGAATATGAACAGTAGAAGAAGAAAAAAAAATTTTGATTTTTCTGGAATGAAATATTTTTAAAAGATTGACTAGGTGGCGCAGTGGTTGAGAGTCTGCCTGCTGATGCAGGGGACACGGGTTCATGCTCCGGTCCGGGAAGACCCCACATGCCGTGGAGCGGCTAGGCCCGTGAGCCATGGCCGCTGAGCCTGCGCATCCGGAGCCTGTGCTCCGCAACGGGAGAGGCCACAACAGTGAGAGGCCTGCGTACCGCAAAAAAAAAAAAAAAAATGTAGATTGACTAACCATTAATAAACTCAGTTTGTTAATTCCACTTATTTACAAAGAAACTGATTGTTACTGATGGGTCTCTACCAGGCAAATAATTAGACATAAAGATGACAAAAACAATTCTTATATGAGACCAACAACATTCATTTTAGGCTTTGAGGTGGGGGTAAACATAACAAAAGTAGAACTATAATTGAAATTAAGCTACAGAATAAACTTTTCAGAGAGAAATACCTTTGCAGCAGATACTAATGCTTCTTTATTTCTTTGCCTTTCTTCCTCCAAACATTTTTCCAATATTTCCTGTAAATGATAAGACAGCTAGACATTAAAGTATTATTTGAGGTAACAGAACATTCTTTCCACAGTCCAAGCAAACTTAAAGTATTACCTTCTGTTCTTGAGATTGCTGAGTCAAAGCTTCCTTTATTTTTTCTTTTAACAGTTCCTTCTCTGTGGCAAGCATTTCAAGGAGCCTCTGATGCTACAAGGAAAGATAATTGCATTATGATTATGGCTCTGAGACTGATAATCTATCAACACGGAGAACAGCTGGTAGAATTCATTTGAAGTAGTTACTAGAGGAAAGAAGAAAGTTTGCTAAAATGAAGGCTTAGGAGCCAAAAAACCTGAATTCACCTTTCTTCCATCAGTCAAGATATACTTTTTTCACCCCCAAACTCAATAAAATACATGACATGAGATCTAATTTAAAAACATTCCAAATATGAAGTGAATCAGAAAGTGATAAAATGTCCTTTCCTAAAATTAAATTTGGAAAATTTACTCATTAAAATTATTATTAGCTTGCAGTAAGAGAGCAATCAGATTATAACTGATGTTTGCCTGATGAATAATTATCTTAACAGATTATTTGTGTTTCTAGTAAAGCACTGTTACAGAAATTGATAGATGACTGTTCTCATCTCAAGATTTTACCATAGATTCAAAAAAATAAATCTATGAAAACGGTCAAAGGAATATTATGTGATAGCTAATGTTAAAGAATATAAAGTTCATGTATTTATTTTTATTCCAATGTGCTAATGAAAAAGCACACAGAGCCATCAGCTAATTATCATAGACTAGACAACTGGAGTTTGAACGCAGTTTTCTTAAGAAAGTTCAACATTTGTAGCCTCAATATCTTCAACACAGATAAGCCAGATACTTGTTCTGAACAGTGCTCTTAGGGAAAACAAAACATATATACATATACATATACATATATACATATACATATATATTCCTACTCACATAGATTTCTCATTCAGTTACTAAAGGCAAGTAAGATATTTTCTCAGATTTAGAATGCCATTTACATAGAAGCCTCCTTTAAATATAAACCAACTCTGACACCCAATATTTTAAAACAGATCTATGTCATTCCAAGTTGTTCTGATTTAAAACATTTCTTAAGCAGGCAGTCTACATTGAGAGTAAGTGACCAAATAGAAAGTTAAGATAATCTATTATTCCTGTTTTTAATTTTAATGTTATTTTTTATCTTTATGTTTCAAGAAAACAAGAAAAATTACAAAAATGTGGTTTTTCTTTAAAAACAAATCCAAACTGTGATATAAATCATGACATGGTGATGGGAAATTATTGGTACCATATGAATTTGTGAAAAGCATTTGACTAATAAATCAGTAGGCTTAGCATATGATATGTAATAATAACTGAGACTTTAATGTTCTATTCTTTGAAAGTCTAGATGTGCACAGAATTTCACAGTCAGAAACAATACCTAATCCTATTTATAAAACACGCATGATAAAATGTGTTTTACCAGGCAAATAATTAGACTTCAAAATGATAAATATAATACAATTCTCATATGAGACTGAAAATATTCAATTTAGGCTTTGCGATGGGAGTAAACATAACAAAAACAGAACAAGTAAAAATTATTGGAATTAAACTGCAAAATAAACTTCTCAGAGTCATCAATAATTCTGAAAATGATTTCTCCTTAAAATGAATTGTTATATTAATAAGTCAGACTAATCAATAAATAATTAACTATAAGTAGGCCATGCTTTTCCAGGGGTCCAACAAGAACTAGTCAAAGAGGATAACATTAGCTAAAAATGACAATGCAATGACAATGACAATGCAATAAAAATTCATTCCTGAGCTTCATTTCTTAATTCTGACAGTATACTATAATAGAAGACTATTTTTGAGCTTGTCTGAGCCAAAATAAACCTCACATTATCATTTGAAAGAAGCATCCTACATAAAATATACCCTAAGTAAAAGCATAGATCTACTTGAGAAAATACAAGGTGACTGACTTTACTTTAGATAGATAGATAGCTAAAAATAGCTAACTTTTTTGACCACTTTAAAGTTTCAGACACTGTTACAAGTGCTTTATATGTGGTTGTACCATATTAAACACAACAGATTGCTAAATCAGATGACATTCTTCCTCATTTTCAGATGAGTGATCTGAGACCCTGAGAGGCTAAGTAATTTACCAGCTCTCAAATGAAGAGCTTCAGCAATAATTATATCTGCACACTCATGTTCAGCAGTAGTAATCACTTAATAGATAAAAGCAGTGCCACTATTACCTAGTTACTAAAGCTACATAAGTAGTATGTCTGGTAAGACCTCACTTCCATTTGGCTTTAAAAGAATTTGAATAATCTATGCTTTTGATTTTGTTCTTTTCAGAATATTAAAATAAGATAATTTCTTGAATAAATATCAGTTGATATTAGGAAAGATGACTCAGAAAGATGCTGAATGGTGTGGCAAAAGTTTATGCCTTAAACAGTTAATTTGTAAAGTGAATGATCCACAAGTGGCTAATCGAGAACGATATAGGGGCTTCCCTGGTGGCGCGGTGGTTGAGAGTCCGCCTGCCGATGCAGGGGACACGGGTTCGTGCCCTGGTCCGGGAGGATCCCACATGCCACCGAGTGGCTAGGCCCGTGAGCCATGGCCGCTGAGCCTGCGCTCCACAACGGGAGAGGCCACAACAGTGAGAGGCCCGCGTACCGCAAAAAAAAAAAAAAAAGAACCATATAAAGTTCAATAAAATATACTGTTTTTGTAAGAATCACATATATTCATCGTGAAAAATGTAAAGAAGTGAAAATCATCCAGGGTTCCATTACCCAAAGAAAATCACTGATAGCACTTAGACAAACAACCTTCTGGAGAGCTCTCTGTGTATTTAAATACATAGATATACATAAACATTTTAAATAATATGTGTATAATACTGTTCTGTAATCTTTTGCACTCAAGAAAGGTACTGACATATTTCTATATAAATACAACTATGCTATTTTTTGTTTTATTAAATTAACTTTAAATTTTATCATTGTGCTATCTACACACATTCATGTTGTTTGCAATATTTCAATTTAAAAAAAATCTTGATTTTTATGCATGCATGTTGTGAACCTGTGAATTACAGTCTTACAAAAAATTCCTAGAAGCAGTATGAGCAGGTTGAAAATTGAGCAGGTTGAAAATTGAGCATGTTTTATATTTTGATGCATACCTTCAAACTGTACTCCAGAGAGAAAATACCAAATTACAAACAATAACAGGACAAGGGATGAGGGGGATGATCCTAGAGAACAGAATCAAGGACTATAACAGCAGCTAACTAAGGAAACTGTTCCACTGGAACAATATCCTATAAATGTTGATTTTCTATTGGTCTTTTCTTTCTTAAAATTGTTTAAATTATAAATTAAATCATAAATCTTCATGGTAGAAATTCAACTATATATTTTAATATCTTATTTTTAAATTAAATTGTCTTAAAGGAAAGTTTACCCTCATATACTAATTTGTAAATTATTACATATCATTTCCCTACCAACTTGTCCATCTCTCTATGTAAATTTATAAATTTGCTAATGCATTTTTTCCCAGCCATCATACAAGAAATATTTGCTTGGTGTGTACCAACACCTGACAGTGTACTAGTTTCCAGGGATGCTGCTCTCATGGACATTAATGTCTAATAGACAATCCATGAAACATAAATACATTTTCTTATATTTGACTTGTAGAACTATTTTATAAAACAAATTTTCTTCAACAAATACCATAACAACTAATTTTGTCCCAAAACACACGTAACTTTTTAAAAGTAGGAAGTACCAAATATGATTTGGAAATAAATAAATAAGTAGAAATAAACTTTTAAAAATATACAAATTTTAAATAAAAAGTTCTAATAGAAAAAAAATACAGTTATCCCTCAGTATCCATGGGGCATTGGAGGTCCAACTAATTATAAGTGCTTTTACAGGAACAGATGGCAATAAAAGAGAAGGTGGCCATAATAATTAAGACCTCAATTATTACAGTACAATATTCTTGCCTTTCATTTACTAATATTAACTATTTGTGGATAAAATATGTCTACAGTGAGAAACAGATAGTTTATGACATATAAACACCTCAGCACAGTGCCTGTTAAATAGTAAAATTTAAATGTTAAGTGCTATTATTACACTACTACTTGTACTTCCTTTATATATTTTGGTAAAAAATATATATAACAAAAATTTCCATTTTCACCAATTTGAAATGGACAAGTGGCATTAATTATACTCACAATGCCATACAACCATCATCACTATTTCAAAATTTTTTCATAATCCTCATCAGAAATTCTGCGCCCATTAAGCAATAACCCATTCTTCCTCATCCCAGCCCCCGGCAACCTCTAACCTACTTTTCATCTCTATGAATTTGCCTATTCTAGATACTTCATATACATGGAATCAGACAGTAATTGTCCCTTGTATCTGGCTTATTTCACTCAGTATGTTTTCGAGGTTCATCAGTGTTGTAGTATGTATCTGAACATCATTCCTTTTTATGGCTGAGTAATATTCTACTGTACATACATACCACTTTTATTTATCTATTCACCTGTTGAGGGACACTGGAGTTGTTTCCACTTTTCAGCAATTATGAATAATGCTGCTAAACATTCATGTACAAATATCAATAAATAATATTCGCAATACAGCAACGTACAAAGGTTCCAATCTTTCCATATTCTTTACAATATTTTACTTTCTGCTTTCTAAATTATTATTACTATAGTCATCTTGGCAATCTCATGTGGTTTTTATTTGCATTTCACTATTGACTAAGCATGTTGAACATCTTTACAAATGTTTCTACTAACTACTCCTTTTCAACTATTACTAGTATTGTCTGTACAAGAAGGAAAATGATTGGAGCTCTTTTTGCAGTTTTTATAGGGGACAGTAGTAGAAGGTGTGCTGGATTTGAGGTTTGTTCATTGACATATTCTTCCAGAAGTAGCAATGTCTTTCCTCTCTGGGCCAGATATTATTTTAGCTATTTAATCACAATAAGCTAGAAATTATAAAGTATCAACCTTTGGCCAAAAAGGTTTCAGACTCCCTTTATTATATCTAAAATAAAGTATAAAGTGTATCTGGAGATTGCCTGTATTACTTCTGCCATCTG